AGTGAAAGTTGTAAAGTTAGTGAAAGTTGTAAAGTGAGTAAAAGTTGTAAAGTGAGTGAAAGTTGTAAAGTTAGTGAAAGTTGTAAAGTGAGTGAAAGTTGTAAAGTGAGTGAAAGTTGTAAAGTGAGTGAAAGTTGTAAAGTGAGTGAAAGTTGTAAAGTGAGTGAAAGTTGTAAAGTGAGTGAAAGTTGTAAAGTGAGTGAAAGTTGTAAAGTGAGTAAAAGTTGTAAAGTGAGTGAAAGTTGTAAAGTGAGTGAAAGTTGTAAAGTGAGTGAAAGTTGTAAAGTAAGTGAAAGTTGTAAAGTGAGTGAAAGCTGTAAAGTGAGTGAAAGTTGTAAAGTGAGTGAAAGTTGTAAAGTGAGTGAAAGTTATAAATTTTTTGAGTGAAAGTTGTAAAGATCTCTAGAATGTTCTTCAGAGTTTTTTAAAACTTGAACTGCAGCTATCATTTATCAGTATCCATGAAAACAAGGTTCAGTTATGCACAATATAAATAGTTTAAAGAGATTTAAAGACAGTTCTGTAGAAAACCTCTGAAATACTATGACTGGAATGCTGCCTTGACTACAAGCCATTTCTGTTATTGAGAAATGACTTTAGCCATCGAAACTAAAGAATTTTAAATATCTATAAATGAGTAAACTGTTTTTACTGAAATGGTAACAAGGGTATGGTCATTAGGTTTAAGAGTTAATTTCGAGAAAATTTTCTCTGCATATAGTTAATTGGTTTAAAGCTTTAAATAGATGGACATTTAACGTAATGCTGTAGATCAAAAACGCCGCCTATTACTAAAATTTTATGGGGGTTAAACTTCTTAGCGTCTTTTTTTGAAATAATTTTCTAAGGTAAACCGATATTTAATCCGACAATATTGGTTTGCTAACTTCTTTCAGTAAATTTTTTGTTACTCTTTTAAAAAAAATATAATTTTTTAAATAAAGACTTTATTTAAAAAATTATATTTTTTTTAAATAAATTCTTTATTTAAAAAAAATATAATTTTTTTTTAAATAAAGAATGTCACATATATTTGAAAACATTTTAATTAATATGCAGGCTTTGTTTAATAATAACTTATTTGAAAAAAAAAAACGTCAAAAATTAAATTTTTATAAAAATGCAATATATGATATATTAATATGAATACCGTCAAGTAAAAAGAATTTTCTACGTGTTGTAGGTCATATGTATTATGTATGGTCATACGTGCTGTATGTCATATCATAGAATATTTAGAATTGAACTAGAGATTGTTGGCTACCATAACTTCCTACACTTTAAATTTACTATCCTCTTAAAAATTTAAATTTTTAGTTGTTGACGGAAAGCAAATCGTTTTTTGTCTTACAAGTTTGTTTTGAAATTTTTTCGTATTTGAATTTTTTTACAATTAGAGTTCTAGAAAAACCATATGATTTAAAAACATTTCGCTAATTTTGATTTTCAAACATATAAAAGTATTTCCATCTGACGCAAAGATTTCCTATTTTTATTTTTAACAATGGCATGCGCACGTATCTTGGCTTTTAAATAATAAGTTAAACGTCTATATATTAAAACGTCCATGGTTTCAAAAACAAGTTATTTTAACAGGTTAGCCTTTTTTTATGGAATTGGAATCTAGTTTATTTTGTTTTTATTTTATTGACAAGTAAAACTTATAATAATAAACATAATTTAACTATATATATATATATATATATATATATATATATATATATATATATATATATATATATATATATATATATATATATATATATATATATATATATATATATATATATATATATATATATACTTAGAACGTTTTAATATATAATATAGTATTTTAGATATAATATATAATTATATATATTTTTATATATAATATAAGTTTTAGATATAATATCTAATTTCAAACGTTTTTATATATAATATACACTGCAAAAAATGAATTCTTATTTTAGGCAAAAAAAAACTTGTTTGCAGCATTTTTTATTTACTTAAAACATTTAATTTTTACTTTTCGGTATGCCAAGGAAGATTTTTATTACTAAGCAAGAATTTTTTTACATCAAAGGTTTTTTTTTACATAGAAAGATATTTTTTACTTAGCAAGATTTTTTTAATTCTTCCCAAGTCAAAAAATTCTTGGTTAGTAAAAAGTTGCTTACTAAACTGACAAGTAAAAAATTGCTTGTTTCAAGTAAAAAGTTGCTTAAAACAAGTTTTTTCTGCTCAAAGTAAGAATTCATTTCTTGCAGTGTATAAAGGATATTTGGACTAACTTCCACAATATGAGATAAAAACCTTTTTTTCAGAAAAAGATATACTTATATCTATAAAACAAAAATACTTTTTTTTATGATATATATGAACATACAGACCAGGGCTGTGGAGTCGGAGTTGCGGAGTCGCGACATTTTTAGCGGAGTCAGAGTCGGAGTCGGAGTCGCTAAACAAAATCGCGACATTCATTCAACCTTATATTTATACTAAACCTCAAAGAATGTTTCATAAATTTGTCAAAAAACTTTTTTTTAACTTATACCATAACATTTTTTAAAGAATTCAAAAAATTAAAAAAATTTTTTTTTTCGAGTTGCAGTCGGAGTCGGAGTTGGAGTCGAAGTTGGAGTCGGAGTCAGAGTTATACTCAAAAAATTTCAACAACTAGAGTCGGAGTCGGAGTCGTTACTATTTTTTTACGACTCCAAACACCTGATGCATACATTCTAATTTTCAAAAATTATGTGGTCTTTTATGACTATGTGGAAATATTTTGTTTCGTTCACATCAAATTTAGAAATGGTTTTAACTTCACGCAAATAGAGCAAAAGCTATTTAATAAACAAACTTTATGATTTTTCTTCAATAAAAATTGATTAAGGCGCAGTTTATTAAGGTTCAGTTTGAATAGGGTATTCCTTAGAAATAGATTATTTTATGTAAAAATATTTTTTTATTATATTTTGTAACATTATTTTCTTTCAGTTTTTACTATATAAGGTATGATGTAGTTTAAAGTAAAAATCTATGTAGGTGTAACTATTTGTTTAAAACCGAAATAAATTTCCTCAGTTTAAGATGTTTAAATTATGTAAGAAGTGAGGAAAAGTCATACCTGTTTGTCTCTACTCTCGAAAATAAAAATAAAGCTATGAAATAAAAGATAAGCGTGTTTTTTGTGTTTAAATTATTCAGAAAAAAGTTTTTTGTACTGATTTTTTTTCATTTATTATTGTGAAAATATAAAATTTATTTTATAATAAGTTATATCGTATCATTTTACGTTACGAATTATAATATTTGACGAATAATAATACTTAATTTGGAGGTGGAATGTTTGTCTTAATCCCTCATTTTATTTCTAACAAATTCATTTCTTATTTCTCTGCTAAATACCGCTTTTGGTATCCTATTAAAAAAACAATACCGCTTTTGGTATCCTATTAAAAAAATACCCTATTTAATTTTTTTCAAAAATGAAATAGGATTTTTTTCTTTGATTATACTCACTTTAAGTATGTGTGATAATATTAATTACATATTCTGCAAGTAAATCGGGAAATTTAAAATTCAAGATAAATGTGTTTTTGTCCTTGTAAGTTAATTTTACAACCACTATTTTAATTAAAACAAAAGCCGTGTTTAGAAATTGAATAAAAAAGGTAGCGATTTAATTTAAGTGGGTTGAAAACAAAAAAATAAATTAAAAGCATTTAGAAATATTTTTGTCAAAGAAATTAAAAAAAAAAAATTGAAGGCAAACATTTGAAACAAAATTTATGTTTTTGTTTGTTTGTAATAACACAAGTTAACAACTTTTACAATATTTATATTAATCGACTTATAAAATCAAAGTTTATATAAAATAATTAAAACATAAATTTCACGCAAATCAAAAAACACACAAGTTTTTCCATATTAATTTTCTTTAATGTTTAGAAAGTCCATACATAAACCCTCATTTAATATAAGCACATGTTAAAAGATATTTAGCTAAATTTTTCAGAGTTAATAAGAAAAAAACAATACCATTAAACAAAAATAAAAAGCTTGTCATCAATTTTAAGACCATTAAACAGAAAAAATAAGTTTATTGTCATATGCTTTAAATAGTAACAGTTTTACTAGTTAAAGCATATGAATTGAAGTTATATGATTTGTGTTTTGAAGTTAGACTAACACTATTTACTTGCAACACACTTATAAATAAAAAAGTTCTGAGAACATTTTTTAAAACAGTGTATTATTTTGCATTGCATAACTATTTTCATGTCCAATAGTTTATTTAAGAATTTTTAGATATAATTAATAAAAATAAAAATGGTTTGTTAACAAAAATGCATATAAGATTTTTGATATATTTTGATTTTTTGATACCTTAAAAAAAAAAAAATTGCGCTATTAGAATTTAAAATAAAATCAATGAGTTAACAAAAAAAAAAGGAACATTGCAAAGAAAAGAAACAAAAAAACATAAAAAAAAAAAAAAAATTAAAAAAAAAAAAAGAACTAATAAACTATGAAACAATATTAATACCAATAATATAAATAAATAATATTAATAATGATAAAAAAAGTATTTATAATAATGATAACAATAATAATAATAGCAATAAAAATAACATAAATAATAATAATAATAATAATAATAATATTATCAGAAATAAAATAATTTTACAAAAAATAATTATATAATAACTTCAGCTAATGATAAAACAATAGTAAAAATGTAATAAAAACTTTCCATTTGTATAACAAATGTTATAGTAAAAACAAAAGTAAAACATATAATTTTTATAAGATGATATTTTAGGTAGTGATAAATAAATTGATGAAATAATATTTTAATTTTTATAATATAAACTAGTTTTTTTCTTCTTTTAACAAATAAATCTATATCTTAAAGTGCATAGAAATCTGTTTGAAAGTTTTCCTTAATATGCAATTTTTAAATCTTTTAATTTTGATTTCAAAAAAGTATTTATTCTTTTTTAACTAAAATTTAGTTTCAAAATCCTGGCGCAAAAACTGACAACAACCTGAACTTCATAATATATTTGGCTTCCTTTAATGTCTTATTAGATGGTAAAAATATTGTTATTATTTCATTATATATATATAATTATATATATATATATATATATATATATATATATATATATATATATATATATATATATATATATATATATATATATATATATATATATATATATATATGTATATATATATATATATATGTATATATATATATATATATATATATATATATATATATATATATATATATATATATATTTATATATATATCCATACATACATACATACATACATACATACATACATACATACATACATACATACATACATACATACATACATACATACATACATACATACATACATGCATCCATACATACAAACATACATACATACATACATACATACATACATACATACATACATACATACATACATACATACATACATACATACATACATACATACATACATACATACATACATACATACATACATACATACATACATACATACATACATACATACATACATACATACATACATACATACATACATACATACATACATACATACATACATACATACATGCATGCATACATTCATATAATCTAAAAAACCATCATAACCAGCCGCCTTAACTGGTCCAGGAAGACATTTTAATGAAAAAAATTTGTAATTTTCTTTTCTAGAATGTTTGTATTTTTGAGTATTTATTTGAGTAAAAATACGTGTTAAAATGGTTTTCGAATGAAAAATAATTTTAATCTTGTAATTGAAAAATATACAATATTTGATAAAACCTTTGTTGGTTTATATTTCGAAAATAAATTAATTTCGTCGTGTTTAAGTTTATTGTCAGCTCTTTTCTTTTGTTAAAAGATGATAAGTTTTTTGCAAATTTACTTCAAGAAAGTTTTTTTGAACGTCTTTCTGGTGTTTTGAATGCACACCAAACTTTCTCAGCAATCAGCAATGCATTCTGTTTACCTTTCTTATTATTGTATAGGTGAATCAATTGCTTCATAATGCCAACGGCTCTTTCTGAATGATCATTTACCACAACTAAAAACTTGACATATTTTTGAAAACTTTTATATACGGATTGAGTATACCATCTATAATAACCTTATTCTATTAAACAAAAGATATGAAAACTCATTGACCAACAGAGTTAAGGAAAATCAGTGTTCTTTAGAATCTATTTCCATTTTTATTTTATCTTTAATATCTATTTTTGTTTGTTTTCAGTTTTTTGCTAGGTAGAAATTGACATTTTATAAGTTAGGACAAATTTTCCGAAATTTTCTTTCTCAATAAATCAAACATTATCAACTAATGGTGCAAAAGGAATCATTGTTAAATCTAAATACGTACAATTTTTGTATAAAGATTTTAAAACTGCACCAACAACATTTTGTTTAGGACAAAAATTTCGGTCTTTTTGTATCATTAGCTTGTAAATACCATTATGCATAAAAGTAAACTTTAAATTCACTAATTAGCTTAATTTCTGTTTTTAGTATACTGTTCTGATTTACAAACTCAACTTGGTTGGAAAGTATTTGTAGCATTAGATAGTACAACCTATTGAACAAAAACTTAGCATGATGAACTGGTTTTTCATGATGGTCTGGGTTTTCTCAGTTTTACTGAAGATAGAAAAAAGTAACAGCAAGTTCTGCAAGCTCCTTCCCATCTTTTTTAACAATATCTTTATTTTCTTTTTTCTTTTGCAATGTATTCTAGACAAAAGTTCAAAGAGTCCAGTGAAGGCTTTTCAGGAAAAGTTTCCCTTACTGTTTTCCAACCAAACTTTATTGTCTCTGTTTGATTTTAACCAAAAGGTAGGCTTTTCAAAAAAAAAAAATTAATTTATCAAACATTTGATTATCTAGCCTTGGGGTCATTTAAGACTGATTTACAAAAATGAACCATTGTAAGTTTGCACTTATAATGCCTGCATTCAGTATGTAAAAGATATTTGTCCATCATGTAGATATTCTGCAAATGGAACCTACATTTAACCCAATGATATATTCAGTAGCATCAAAACATATTCCTCCTACTCTTGATTTAAAATTTTATTCGTGTAGAAGTTCCATTACACCATTTAACAAGTTTCCACCAGAGGATGATGGTAAAGGAGGTACTCCAAGAAGGTGAGTTTCACTCTCAATACTTACAAGAATAACAAGTCTTTAATTTTTAATAATTTGTCCTTTGTTTAGTTCAATTAATATTTCTCCATCAAAAATGCATTATTAATGGGTATATTTAAACATCCTAAATAAAACGAGCTTATATTATGATTATTATAGTTCATTTTTCTTTTAATTGCTATTGACTGGTCTGCTCCTAATTTAGTTAGAACAGCACATGCAACCTTTTGCAAAACAATTGGAGAAATATCACTGATTTTAGCCATAAGCAGAAAAATATATCTTAGTATTTCAGCAGTTACTTTCTGTCAAATGATTCTTTTTCAAACCACTTACTTGGGATCATAATCAAAATTTAACGATAAGTCTTTGCTGGAATCTATGTTAGTCTCAACAGTTAGTGAATGAACGTTGTTAATATTTTTGTTGAGCTTTTTTTATTTTAAATCTTTTTAAGTGCCATGAAAATAGTAAGTAAATTAATAAGATTTGTAATATAATTTTTATGAGGTTTAAATAAATACATATAAGCATTAATTATAAGTTAATTATGAGTATTACCTTTTATGTCTGACTTAACTTCTTCGATAATAAATAATTTTTTATTGTTTCTTAGTTTCCTTTTGTTAAATGTTTCTGAGTAACTTTTTACTTTTTATCCATATTTAAATTGATTTATTCAAACTATAATAATCTAAAGAATCAAACTTTAAAATAGCAATATAAAAGTAACTTACTAATACAATAATGAAACAAATAATTTTTTTTTTAGGCTTTTTTGGCTTGTCTTGTTTAAACCCCAATATCGTTATTTGATTTTTTGTATTTCAGACATCTTTTACTTTAACATCTACACGTTTTTACATTATACTACATTGATCTCTACCTGCTATGATAAGTAATAGTTAACAATTTATTCAATAAAAATTAAATTTTGTTGACATTATTAATAAAACATAAATATATACATACATACATACATACATACATACATACATACATACATACATACATACATACATACATACATACATACATACATACATACATACATACATACATACATACATACATACATACATACATACATACATACATACATACATACATACATACATACATACATACATACATACGTACATACATACATACATACATACATACATACATACATACATACATACATACATACATACATACATACATACATACATACATACATACATACATACATACATACATACATACATACATACATACATACATACATACATACATACATACATACATACATACATAAATACATACATACCTACATAAATACATACATACCTACATACATGCATAAATACATACATAAAATGCTAAAATATCTAATCGCAAAAATTTAGTTTGAATTTTGATGTGGAGAATTACACTAGTACTTTTTGTAATATTTCACTTTATTTTGTAATTGGTATTTTTATATTAAATTATAACATGTTAATAATATATTATAATACTCTGCTTTTACAGGTATTTATAATAACCTCTGTTATAATTTAAAAGAAATATTTAGAACTATTACAATAACCTTTTAAAAGTATAATGTAAAATAATATTAATATTAAATAACATTATTGAAAATTTTAGTGATTGTTTTTTGAATAATTTTGTTTGATTGTCGTAACATTATATTGAAAAAGTAAACATAAAAATGCTAGTTGAAAATATTCCAAAAACTATTACATTATTTAAACTATTATAAAAAACAATTCAAATTAGAATTGGCAATAAAAACATTGCTGTCATAAAACGTAATGTTTTAATATTATGTTATTTATATGATATAACATTTTACAACGTTTTTTTATATATAATATAATACAGCGTTTTTGCATATAATATATTATTTTATATATAGTATACAAAAATATATAATATATAACTCCATCTATTCCTGTACATTTATTTGGATTGAGTGACTTCAGAATTATAGAAACTGTGTACAGTGAAAATGTAGGGTCCTCACGAGGGTATATAATATATATAAATGTATATTATACACCCACGAAGCTTGCACCTCAGCTTCGTAGCTGTATAATATATACTTATAACATATATTATATATATATGTATATATATATATATATATATATATATATATATATATATATATATATATATATATATATATATATATATATATATATATTTATATATATATATTATATATATATATATATATATATATATATATATATATACATATATATATATATATATATATATATATATATATATATATATATATATACTAATATATATACCTATATATAAATACATATATATATATATATATATATATATATATATATATATATATATATATATATATATATATATATATATATATATAAATATATATATATATATATATATATATATATATATATATATATATATATATATATATATATATATATATATGCAGTAAATTTTATTAATTAGATTTTTGATTTATTAAAGTTTAGTTATGTTGTTTTTATTTTATTTATTGAAAGTTTTAACCTGCTTAATTTTTACATTAGAATTTTTTTTTTGTTCTTTTTTCCATTATAGGTTAAAACTGGTATATTTACTGTATAAAGCATACATTATTTTTTAACTATTTAAAATTTAAGCAACATTTAAAATGAGACTATTCATAGTAGCAAGTAACATTTTTGAAGAAAAAACTAGATATGCTTTTGCGCAAAAATATTTCTCAACTTCTAAAAATCCTAACATAATTGATAGCTCCAAATAAAATTACGTTGAATTTGTTAAGAAACTTGTACTTTTCACCTACGTTTGTACCTATAGTTTTTTATTGCCCTGTAGGATAATAATTTTTTATTTAAT